TTTCTGTATCCCGTTATTCAAAGCCGTGTTTCATTTTAGGATATTATCGTATCTTCCCCAAGGGCATAACCAAATATCCACCTATCTACAGCCTCACTCAACGACATTGCTTGTGAGTAATTAAGGACTAAAGCTTACTATCCACCCTGCAACTACTAAAACAGAAAGACAGAGATAATATTGTCCCCTATTTTGGAATCCAACTCTCCTCTTCTGTGTGCAACAGCGAAGCGCGTTTTGCATCGATGTACTTCTCATTCATTCATCTAAAAAAAATCTCCCAACACTGCTGGTCCTTTCTCTATTTCATTCACCTATTTCCCGACATACGACAATAATTTATTGACAAGATAGCTGAACTTTCCATGCGGTCAGAAAACATCTCTTACTTGCTTCTCTCCCCAGGAGCTAGCCAGCTATGACCAGAAACATCCCTACTCGGAACTCACGAAGAAGTTACCTCCTAAAGGTGTAGATCCTGCCTACAAGGAGGTGAGACACCGCTTATCATTTTCACAATGTTTTGTTCGTTTGGTTTGGGAAAGAGAAAACGACAGAGATTAAGAGAGAGATGAAGAGAGAGAGAGAGAGAGAGAAAGAGAGAGAGAGAGAGAGAGAGAGAGAATATTTATGGGACGGAGGTGTTTCAGCACGTAATATAATGATAATAATAATAATATGTTCTTTCTCGTTGTGTATATGCGTGGGTGAACATTATGGACTTTACACACCACAGCGTTGTAAATGTCAAAGACAAATTATTGCTCCCTGCCAGTTGAATATAGATTACTATTATATTATCATTGTCTTTGGTTGTATTTGTAAATTATGTTTCCGATGTTGTTATTCTCCTGGTTTGTTTCGTTTTCCCTGTCGTCATAATATGTGTCCATTTTATATCGCACTCATATTCTGGACATGTAGCTGCGTTTTCTAGAAAACAAGAATGTAATTTAAATACGGACACTTTATTTACGTCTTGTTATTTTCGGAGAAAATATGGGGGCTAGATCTAGTATAAATCATCCAACAGTTTGAGACCTCTTTTTCTAGAACATTAATTGTTTGGTTTTTTCAAATTACTGTCTAACTGGAAACCAAAATAATATTTTTAAAGAAACATTTTTTCCTTCCAGAGTTTGAATGATTTCTTTATTACTCTTTCTTGTTCTCCCCTACAACTACCGCATCCCACACACCAGCCCCCACCCTAAGCCACGAAGTCCTTACCCCCCCCCCCTCCAAAAAAAATCCAAGAAAAAAAGTCCTCATCAGCATCCCAAGGGAACTTAAAAAGAGTTCTTCCCTCAGCACACTGTTTCTATTCCGTCTAACACACAAAACGTTCACTGTCTCTTACTACCTTGGCCTCTGAGGGGAAGCAGTTTGACGCACAGAAAACCTAAGTTCGATTCAATTGTGAGTAATATTAATTGTATCTCGTATCTTGGCCTTTCTGCATAGATGCTGTATCTCTCTCAGCACGAATGGCCCTGCCTGGCAAGGTCGAAAACGACCTCCTAAATTATGATCTAAATCGTGCCGATGGGGGAGGGGGAGCCTTAAAAACACCACACCAACCCCCTCCCCCATCAGAAAATAGAAATTCAGCGTTGTGTTTCACCTCTATACACAAACTCTGTCTATCCGCAGCGCTACCTGTCCGATGAGGATTTCCAGACCGTGTTCAAAATGTCCTACGCTCAATTCTCCTCACTTAAGCAGTGGAAGCAGCTGGATCTCAAGAAAAAGATGGGCCTTTTCTAACTCCTCAACCACGCTTTCTGTGCGACCTGCTGGGACCCAGTGGCAATCAAATACACATGCCGTGTGTGAAACGCAATCCAAAAACAACCCCCCCCCCCCCAATCAACCTAAAAGTCCCAAAACAATACCACTTTATTACACTGACTTATTGCGTATGTTGACTTAGTCTAAAGAATTAGACTGCGCCCTGTGTGTCGACAATTTTCTAAAAATAATATCCCCTTTCTACTTTTCTTACCTCCTCTTCAGCCCCACCCCAGCCCCAACCTAGAAATCAAATTTACGTATTTATAAAACATGTGGGTCCATAATCCTCACTCCTGTGTCATTATAGCTACGATTTTTTCTTGTCCCTCAAAATGTAGTTGCGAGTACTGCAAACACTCACAAACATTTCATTCAAATCCCCTGTAAATTCACGAGCTATTGAAACCATACATCAATAAACTGTGTATTCAAAAGAGCTCACCATGTTCAACACAATGAAACAATTTATATAAAATCATTGAATATCCACCCCCACCCCCTTTCTTACCCCGTTTACCCCAACTGGACTCAGCCCTTTTCCTCGGTTCAATGATATAATCAAGTCAGAAAAATTGATTAGGAGACAATGCCTTACGAATGACTCCATTTTTAATCAAAATGGTAGTGGGATGCCAAACGTGACTGTTGAATTCCGATCGTTTGCTCTGTCTGCAAAAACACCGGCTGACAGAAAAACAACCATTCC